TTTGTTTATCCATTCATCTGTTGATGGGCATCTGGGTTGTTTCCATCTTTTTGCTATTGTGAACAATGCTGCAATGAACATGAGTGTGTAGATGTCTATTCATGTGACGGCTCTTATTTCTCTAGGATATATTCCTAGGAGTGGGATTGCTGGATCGTATGGTATGTCTATTTCTAGCTTTCTCAGGAAGTGCCATATCATTTTCCAAAATGGTTGTATCATTATGCATTCCCACCAGCAGTGCATAAGAGTTCCGATCTTCCTGCAGCCTCCCTAACATTTGTTATTTCCAGTGTTCTTGATTCGTGCCAGTAATACTTGGTGAAATGGTATCTCATTGTGGTTTTAATTTGCATTTCTCTAATGGCTAGTGATCACGAGCATTTCCTCATGTGTCTGTTGGCCGCTTGAAAGTCTTTGGTGAAGTGTCTGTTCATTTCCTTTGCCAATTTTTTAATAGGATTATTTGTCTTTTTGTTGTAGAGGTGTTGGATTTTCTTGTAAATTACAGAGATTAGACCTTTGTTTGACTTGTAATTTCCAAAATTTTTTTCCCAGTCTGTTGGTTCTCTTTTGACTCTTTTGGTGAAGTCTTTTGAAGAGCATAGGTGTTTGATTTTTAGAAGATCCCAGTTATCTAGCTTATCTTCTGGAGTTTGTGTGTTGTTGATTATGGTTTGTATCCTGTTAATGCTGTGTATTAGGGCCTCTAGCGTTGATGAGAATAAATATATTGAGCTGTCAATTTGCCTATTGATGTAATGAAATGAAAGCAGGGGTATATATTAAAGTAGAAATACCATTAAAAATAAAACTATGAAAGTGCCAGAAGAAAATATATCAGACTATCTTTAAAATCTTAGCATGAGAGAAGTTTTTCTAAAGCTGATATAAGCCCAAAACTCATAAATAAAAATATGATAAGATCATTTAAAATTAAACATTTCTGTATAGAAAACTGTACTATAAAAAGTTTAAAAGCAAAATTAGAAAATGTAAACAAAAGAAAAACTGGAAGTAATATTTGCAACTTTTTAACAGAAATAGGGTTAAAATCCACAGGAAGTCTGAAAATCAGTAAGAAAAAGACAAATCCAATAGCACAGTGGATAAGGAATGGGAATGGGCAACTCATAAAAGAAATGCAAATAGGCAGAAATTTTAAGGCTAGCTGTAAACCTCATAAATTATCAAAGAAATAGAAATAAAAGTAATAGTTTTTACTTACCTGATTAAAATAATGAGAATGACCAGTGTGTGCGAGGATGCAACAACATAATTGGTGGGAATTAAATTGGTACAATTTTTCTGGAAGGTAGTCTGGCAATATGCTTAAAATATAAAATAGAACTTTTACTTCAATCCATAATTTCTCTTAAGGCAGTAATTGGACAGAGGTGTGTGTGTGTGTGTGTGTGTGTGTGTGTGTGTGTGTGTGTGTATGTGTTTCAGGATGCACACACAGAAAGGTGTTTATTGCAACGTTGTAAATTGAGTTCAACCTTCATGTTCGTCAGTGGGGATTGTTTAAATCATGGTACATTTGTCTAGTGGGCTGCCATGCTTCCATTACCAAAGGAAACTATACTTTATAGAAATACTCTGCAACATACCAGTCGAGTGATTAAAAAGTTACAGAATATATTAGCCAATTTAAATTTTTTTAATAAATATGTTTACATATACATTAAAGTCTGGAAAGATATGTACTGTATTGTCTCTTATTGCTGGGGAATAGGATTATAGAACTTTTTTTTCTTTTTTATTGTGCTTTAGATAAATGTTTACAGAGCAAATTAGTTTCTCATTAAACAATACACATTATGTTTTGTGACATCGGTTGCCAACCCCGCAACATGTCAACACTCTCCCCTTCTCAACTTTGGGTTCCCCATTTCCATTTGTCCAGTTTTCCTGTCCCCTCCTGCCTTCTGGCCTTGCCCCTGGGCTTGTGTGCCCGTTTAGTCTTGTGTACGTGGTTGAGCTCTGTGTATTATTGTCTGTTTTATGGGCCTGTCTGATCTTTGTTGAAGGGTGAACCTCAGGAGTGACTTCAATACTGAGTTAAAAGGGTGTCCGGGGGCCATACTCGCGGGGTTTCTCCAGTCTCTGTTAGACCAGTAAGTCTGGTCTTTTTTTGTGAGTTTGAATTTTGTTCTACATTTTTCTCCAGCTCTGTCCGAGATCCTCTATTGTGATCCCTGTCAGAGAGCAGTTGGTGGTGGTAACTGGGCACCATCCAGTTGTGCTGGGCTCAGTCTGGTGGAAGCTGTGATAGTTATGGTCCATTAGTCCTTTGTACTGATCTTTTCCTTGTGTCTTTGTTTTCTTCATTCTTCCTTGCTCCTGACGGGGTGAGACTAGTGGAGTATCTTACATGGCCGCTCATAAGCTTTTAAGACCTCATTAGAACTCTCTTTTTAACAAGTATTTTTGTGGTGAATTTTTTTGTAACCAAAATGTCTCTTATAATTAAAAAAAAAAAA